AGCACGTGCAGCGCCTGCCACCAAAAAGGGTCCCCGGCAAATACCTGCCAATCAAATGAACGTGGCCTCGACCACGCCAGCGCCGCCCTCCGCAGCCATGGGGGTCCTTCGTGCCCGAGCCCCCCGACATCGGGCTGGGAGGGCCTCCAGGTGACCACTGCCCCTTGTGCGGACACCCCGTGTCCAATTCTCCTGCAGAAGCGCTGAGGGGCCTAGGCCGCAAAGCTTCGCTGTCCTAGGGATGCTGGGGGGCCGTGGTGCACTCATCGCTGCTGCCGCCAGCCGGTGGCCCTTGGGTCTGGCGCCCCACTTGTCAGCCACGTGGGGGTGACGGGGACATTGACGGAGAATCCTGATCCCCGTTCTCTCTCCTGCCTCCTGTGTGCAGGCGATGTCCTCTTCCAGATGGCGGAGGTCCACCGGCAGATCCAGAACCAGCTGGAAGAGACGGTGAGGCTCAGCCCCCGCTGGCCTGGGCCGCGTGGTGCCCGTGGCCTTAGGCGGCCAGGGGGTCTGACGCCCGGGCTGCTGTCCAGCTCCGCCCAGAGCCTCCGGGCCCCGCGGGGCCTCCCTGTCCCTGCAGGGTCATCAGCTTTGGGATCCGATGGCTCCTCTTTCCCCTGGGGTTACCCTCCCGCCTGTCCCAGGAACAGGACCCTGCCTCCTTCCCCACCCTACTGTGTGCTCCCCGCCTGCACCTCGGAGCTCTTCCCCGCCCTACTGTGTGCTCCCTGCCTGCACCTCGGAGCTCTTCCCCGCCCTACTGTGTGCTCCCCGCCTGCACGTCTGAGTTGACTCTGGTGTGTGTTCTCTCTCCAGCTGAAGTCCTTTCACAACGAGCTGCTCACGCAGCTGGAGCAGAAGGTGGAGCTGGACTCCAGGTACCTGAGTGTAAGTAGCTCTGCCACACCTACCCGCTCCCCCCTGCCCTCTGAGAGGTCCCGCAGAGCCCCATCCAGTGGTTCCCCCGACATTCCTGCCCATGGAGACGTCATGGGGTCCGAGGGTGAACCCCGCTGCCTGGCTCCCCTGTGCCCCCCTCGGGGCTGTTGCTAAAGGTGCTGGTATGAGGTCGCTGCTTCCTGGAAGCCACACAGGCTCCCTCTCACTCGCTGTGCCCATCGAGCCCTCGTGCTCATCACCTTCCCCAGCCTGACCTTGGTCTCCGGGAGCCGAGGGCGGGCGGCTCATGGCCGCCGTGTGGTCGCCTGCAGGCCGCGCTGAAGAAGTACCAGACGGAGCAGCGGAGCCGCGGCGACGCGCTGGACAAGTGCCAGGCTGAGCTGAAGAAGCTGCGCAAGAAGAGCCAGGGCAGCAAGAACCCCCAGAAGTACTCGGACAAGGAGCTGCAGGTGGGCCGGCCTGCGGGAGGGACAGTGGGCGCCAGGAGCGGGGTGACTTGCCCTCTGCCCGGGACCGCGCATCCTGCAGCGGGCAGTGAGGGCGGCTCCCCAACCGCCCACCGCTCGCTCAGGTTCCGGG